ACTTAAGGGCCACCCACATTAGATCCGTTTGCGTTGCGTTGACGTAAATTTGACAGTTAGACAATAGATTTAGCTGTCACTTTGCTGCAACGCGTCCGATCCGAATCTAATGTACGTAGGCCTTTACGTGCCAGGAGACTTTGGGATACGACAAGGCACAGCAGAACCACAAACATAGTTGGACAGAGGATATTTGCACATGCGCTCTCTTGTTACCTACTCTCTCACCTATTTGTAGGGTATTGTGTGGAAGGTTTACGGTAGGGTCAGTCCATCTATCCGCCCAGGTGGTCTATTGAGCAGTTCTCGCAGATGGTGGACAGACTCACTGCAGTACTTGTCGGCCTAAGACCGGTGGTCATTGCGGGCGACTTCAACAAATGGGCGATGTAGTGGGGCAGCCACCACACCAACCAGAGAGGATGCATTCTACTGGAGGCAATGGCCCAAACTGGACGTTGTACTAGCCAACACCGGCTCGGTCAGTACCTACAGAAGGAATGGTGCAGAATCCATCAGTGATGTGACGTACTGTAGCCCGTGTTTGGAGGGCAACCTACACTGGAGGGTCGATGAGGGTTACACCCATAGTGACCATCAGGCGATCCGCTATAGTGTGGGGCCAGGTGAGAGGCGACTGGCAGGATGAAATACTTCTTGCGCTCGAGGCTGGCGGTCGTCGTTCTTCGATGAAGAGGTCTTCGGCGAAGCACTGAGGCAAGAGCGAATAACCCCGGATCTGACGGGGGAAGAACTGGTAGCATCGCTGACAAGGGCGTGCGATACAACCATGCCTAAGAGAGCCTACCCCAGGTATGGCCATAGACCGGTGTACTGGTGGAGCGAGTCGATTACTATCCTCAGGGCGTCTTGCCTCCAGGCGAGCAAGAAGATGCAACGAGCTCGTACGACTGAATCTCGGGAGGAACGCCCTGTCGCTCTTTGAGCGGCTAAGGCAGCCATCAATAAAGAGATCGCCAGACGCAAGCGTGCGTGCTTTGACAGCTTATGCCAAAGCGCCAACACGAACCCATGGAGGGATGCCTACAAAGTGGTCATGGCCAATACCCGCGGCGTGGCGGAACCCCCGGATAGATCGCCGGCGATAATCGTTGGGTCCTTGTTTCCACGTAGAGACGAAGACTCCTGGCCGCGGATCCCAGTCGCGGATCAGGGAGAAGTGTCTAGAGTGATGAACAGAGAACTTAGCGATATTGCCAAGTCGCTGGTGGTGGGCAAGGCCCCGGGCCCAGATGGGATCCCGGTTGTGGCTCTGAGGGCGGCCGTTGCGGAAAATCCAGACATGTTCCGTTCTGTTTTTCAGACCTTTCTGGACGTAGGCTCTTCCCAGATGCGTGGAAGCGGCAGAGGCTGGTGCTGCTCCCGAAACCAGGAAAACCCCCTGGGGACCCATGAGCATACAGGCCCATTTGTTTGCTGGACGCCACTGGTAAACTGCTTGGGAGGGCCATCCTCAACAGGATGTCGGCTTACTCTGAAGGTGTAGACGGCCTATCAAGCAGCCAGTACGGGTTCCGTAAGGGCAGATCCACGGTGGAAGCCATCCACAAGGTCATCCAGACGGCAGAGGTGGTCTACCGGAAACGAAGGGGTATTCGTTACTGCGCGGTGGTAACCTTAGATGTGAAGAACACGTTCAATAGCGCGTGCTGGGGGGCGATAACCCGCTCGCTACACCAGCTCTAAATTCCCGGAGGGCTGTACAAGATTCTGGAAAGCTACTTCCAGAATCGTGTGTTGACGTACGACATAGAAGATGGTGAAAAATGCGTAAGAGTCACCGCAGGAGTGCCGCAACCCAAGTAACAGTTTTGGTTTTATGAGGGTTCTGTAGACCATGATTTAGACTTGTAGAATGCTATAAAACGCGATAAAACCTGCAATGTTACTTGGGAAGGCTCCATCCTGGGCCCGGTGTTATGGAACGTCATGTACGATGGATTTTGAGGATAAGATTCCCAGTAGGCGTGAAAATTGTAGGTTTTGCCGACGATGTCACGCTGGTAGTCTACGGGGAATCCCTTGAGGAGGTAGAGCTGACAGCGGCTCACTCCGTCAAGCTTGTGGAGGAATGAATGAGATCCAGGAAACTGGAGCTTGCCCATCACAAGACTGAAGTGGTCGTAGTCAACAATCGCATGTCGGTGCAGCATGCGACGTTGACAGTCGGCGAAAGCACAATTAGGTCTGTGCGCTCTCTGAAACTCTTGGGGGTTATGCTCGATGATAAGCTCAGCTTCGGCTGCCACGTCGAGTACGCCTGCAAGAGAGCGTCTACGGCTGTGGGGGCATTATCCCGCATGATGTCAAACAGCTCGACAGGGAATGCCAGTAAGCGCAGGCTCCTCGCTGTTGTCGTAGTATCTATCCTCAGATACGGCGGCCCTGCGTGGGCTGCGGTACTGGATATAGACTGTCACAGGCGGAAACTAGAGAGTACACACAGGCTAATGTGCTTGAGGGTGGCCAGTGCATACCGCACCATCTCGAGGGAGGCTGTCTGTGCCATAGCAGGGATGTTGCCAATCGGCCTCATCATTAAGGAGGACGTGGTGTGCTATGACGCGAGGACCGTTCGAGGGGTGCGCAACAACGCGCGAGCGGTGTCGATTGCGAGATGGCAGTCCAAGTGGGAAAACTCCACAAAGGGGAGGTGGACCTACCGCTTGATACCTTCCTTATCAAGCTGGGTCAACAGGCGCCACGGGGAAGTAAACTTCCACCTGACTCAGTTCCTGTCGGGCCATGGCTGCTTTAGGAGTTACTTGCATAGGTTCGGACATGTAAGTACTCCCACCTGCCCCATTTGTGCTGGCGTCGAAGAGACGGCCGAACACGTTGTGTTCGGCTGTCCACGCTTCGAGCCAGTATCGAGCGCCATGCTAGCGATATGCGGAGCGGATACCAGTCCGGATAACATCGTCCCTAGGATGTGTGGTACCACCGAGCTCGGTGGTGACTGCGGTCACCCACATAGTTTCGGAACTACAACGACAGTGGCGTGCCGAGCAGCAGTTGCCTACTGCCCAACTAGATTGATAGAGTATTGCTAGAGATGCGCCATAGCGCTATAGCGGCTCCTCCCACGAAGTAATGCCTTCGGGCGGTTCCAGGGAGGTCAAGGGCCAAGCGCACAGGGTAAGGTTTAGTGGGTCGGGTGTGCAATTCTCCCATCCCCACACCCTGAGTTCATTCCCCCCTGTATAAAAAAAGGGTCCGTCTATCTGTTGTAGCTCCATCTCCAACAAGTGTTCTCAATGTAAGAGATGAACTAGCCATATGGCTAAACATCTCTTTAATAATGACAAAAAAAAAAGTATTCTCAATCAAAGTCCAAGTTTTGGTGAAATTTAAGCAATATTTGGATTTTTTGTAATCAAATGAATATGATCGTTCCGTTTCCCATTCAAAATTTAAAATTCTCCCGCATATTGAGATTATAACCAAATTCGTTCAAATTTGGTCCCAGTTGTTGGGGACCAAGATAAGCATAGAGCAGTTGGAAACCCACTCTAATGTAAACGCTTCGGAAAATGGTCTTGAAAACAACAAAACGTTAAGATACTTTTTAGAAAATTCATTATGCATCCCCTGGGATCCCCCCATGAATTGTATACGTAACAGTAGACTTGAAGATGCTAACGTTTAAATTAGCTGCTAATACCTGCTAACCTTCAAGATACGCCCCCTTACAGATAGCGTTGAAAAATTATAAGAAGGGACTTAAATCCTTAAAACAAAGAGATAGAGATTTGATTTTTGCAGCAAATCTGTGCAGTTTTAGAAAATGCAAAATTCAAACTAAAATGTTACGGTAAAAATAACGATTTTTAATATAATAATAATACAGTTTGTACTCCATTTTTACCCTTTAACTTTGTCCACTTAAGAGATGGAAAATTGACGTTTTGCACAAAATTTCTTAAAATGAATGTTTCCATAGATGATCATCAATGTCAATCAGGCATACAAAAGTTATTTTTTTTTTTAATCTTAGTGTATACCCCCCTTAAGCAAACAAAAATACCATTGCAATAAAGAGTTTAAAAATGAAGAAACATTCTAGAAGACATCAAAATGCTACACTCAATAGGTTCATCGCAAATGACCATGTCCCTCTTTTTTTGATTTCGTCCCAGTGTGCGTAGTTTCAAGTCCAGTGAATTAGCAATGAAATCATTTTTCCCTTGAACTTCCAAGAACATTTTGTTGTCGTCTTGCCTTTGAGCAACCAGCGCACAACAGTGGAGAAAAGAAGAACCACGTGATCTGAATTGATTTGCTTGTAGAGTTCTTTCGTATGGACCAAGCTCTATAATCTCTTTCTGAAATCTTGATTTGTTACCAAGCGTTGCTAGACCCCCATCAATATTAACTCCACTTACTTTTTGCTAGTGTAAGCCACCCGATTAAAAAAGGTTTTGATTTTAGCCATGTTATTGTCACTTTAAGCATTTTTTTTTTTAGACCAAACCAACCAAGACCCTCGCTCCTCCCTGAAAACTCATTTTAAACCAACTGAATCCAATTTGTTGGTAATTAACGCTTTTTTTTTAGATTTTCAAATTGCCCGAGGAAGCCAAAAAAAAACAACACCAGATTGTAATTTTCCACCATTCAGGTAATTAAAATGTTTCAAAGCAAGCACCCTGCTACCATGAACAGCTCGTCACAATTTTCTTTTCATCCAATTACAAAACTCCACGCTGCCACGTGCAGCCGTCGGTTGTCACACATGTTCTAGCAAATTTGTTTAAAGATCCCCAACAAATATTCCATCAAGTTGCAAATTCGGTATCCCGCTCAGCTTGCTGAAATATTCATGAAAAACCAGTCGCAAAGCTTTTTCAACTTTCTGATAAGATTATTCCGACAAATTGAACTCCAGAGCAAAGGCAAGCCTGTCGCCGTTGCTTTCGTGGTGCTGTTGTGATGTTCACTTTATCACGCCCGGGTTGAATTAATTTTGTGGGACTTACCTTTCGATCAAGTAGATGGTCAAATTCTGCATCACGCAGAACACGCCAACGCACAGGTCCGCCACGGCCAGGTTGGCCAGGAAAAAGTTTGTGATCGAACGGAGCCTCCTCGAGAGTGTCACCACCAGAATGACTAGCAGGTTGCCTATTTTGTGGAGAAGGGGAAAAGAAGAGGACGAAATTAGCATTGCAATTTTTCATTTAATGGAAATCTGTATGTGGTTTGATATATCAGCTTTCTCGAGTAGACAATTATAGTTCAACTCAAGTCGAATCTGCGGGGAGGAAATGACGTGAGGAATGATTCAAATTTGATCAGAAGAAACGTAGCTTAAACACATTTTGATTGAGTCAGAACGATACTGACGATTCCGATTTAAGATGGACCTTTCTGAGCCTTTTGCATCGAAGTCTCAGATAGCCCAGCCAGTTCTTAAAGGCACAGTAGTACCAAACCGAAGGAGGCTGATGGTCCGCTCGAAGAAATCTTTCGGGTTGGACATTTGCTCGACTTTCCTGGGTATAGAGTATCATTGTGCTTGCCAAAGCTCTCAACTAATAACTACTGTCGAAGTACTTCAAGAACACGAAGGCTGTGAACCATTTGATGGATTTTTTTAACTTTTGGTTAGAATTTGACAGATGGAAAGTTATCGATTAACCCGGCTATCCGAGCGTGGTTATTTCTGACCGACAAGAAGTTAAATTTTGACAACCGTGGCTGAGTTGTTCTCGAAAACCGGTCAAGGGATTTTCGTGGCACAGGGATTTTCGAACATACAGAATGACTTTCCAAATGCCACTTTTAACCACAAGTTAAATATAACTCGGCAAATGGTTAACAGCCTAAGTTGAGAGCAGGCGATGGCTCGTTTAAGAGCGTCAAACCCAGGTAGACGAACAATGTCAATTTGCCGATCTGAAATAGCAGCAAAACGTGCCATATCCTTCCTATCCAATGCCATTTCTATCGGAATTCCGCTATGTAAAGCTTTATGGCTCTCCATTAAACATTTTCCTTGGTAGAATGGTGGGCGTATGTACAAAGCCCTGTCGAACAAGCATGTTGATTCGTACCGTAATGCAATGGGATGTTGTCGCCTGTTTCATGCAGTGGGTGTGTGTGTGTGTATATTCCAAGATAGAGCAACAACTATTGCAAACAATCGCACTTTCGTAAAGCCGTAAATCCGCCCTAGCTCGGAAGATTTATGTGCTTCTCTTTTTGTTCAGAAGAGAAATTTATTGCACATAGCCTTCGGTATCCGTTTCCTTCCTGTCGACTTGCATCTGGCAACGGGTAAGAAGTGTGAATGTAGGTACATAAATGTCTACCGCCTAGGGGCTGTTCATAAACTGCGTAGAACAGTTTAAGAGGTTTTAGACCCCCTCCCCCCGCGCGTAGACAATTGTCCAATTTGTATATATACTTACCAACCCCCTTCCCGCTAAGTGGCTACGTAGTTTATGGACAGACCTCTATACTCATACGGGACTGCCTGGTTTGGATTCGAGAACTGTTGCGTTTCGTGTCTGCACACTTTGGGACAGTAGCTCTTTTCTCCGTTAAAAAAGCGATAAATTATTGAATAGCTTTTCAAATGTTTGAACACGTCAAGTGCGGTGGGAACAACAACCTGGTGTGCTTGTCACTCGATGGGAGTGATGACAGGGAGGAACATTTCCTGAACAATATACATGTCCATCGGATCAGATTCAGAAAGACATGTTCTCTTAAGCATACTCAGTTATGAGCGGCACCGGTGGTGTAGTGGTAAGCATGATTACCTCTCACCCCAGCAGGCCTGGGTTCAATCCCAGTAGGCGCTGCATGGATGTTCATAGCATCTCTGATCACGTCTCCCATCGGAAGGGAAGTAAAGCCATTGGTCCCCGGTTCATTAGTTGATGGGTCGATAGGTACGGTCCAGGTGTGGGAGCTGCCTTCCTGGCGTCGGTAGCATTGGTGCTCAGCACGGAAAACAAGATCGACGGAAAACAAATCAAGGAAAAAAAAACTCAGTTATGGTTGCTTGTTGTGTCAAGAAGTGTCTGTTTTTATCATTTACCAGCACACGAAAGCAGTAGCGCTTCAACCCAGTGCATACATTATATGTTGCACCAGTTCCACTGGTGAAGGATACCGCTCATCACGCAGCTTTAGTTATTACCTTAGGGAAACGTCGCATCCTCGAATCATTCAGTAAGAATTAGAGCCAGACAAAGTCATTTTCAATTGAAAATCGTCAATCGACGATGAGGCTGTCAATCTTCACTTTCAATTGAAAATCAGTGTCTTCCCTTCGAGCAGATCACCTTTCAACATCAACAAACCCATTTTCGATCTTATTTCATGCTGTTTGTATTTACCTCATTTGCGTTCATTTTGTTCTTCGCCATCGTGCTGAAGCAAAGCAGTTCGCGTTCAGATTCGAGCAGTTTGTTTTGACGTTTGGCACTTCACTCAGGTCGGTTCATTTCAGAATATCAAAATCTAAGAGGAAGAGGAGACAATAGAGAGCTGCACCGTCGGTTTAACCTCACATTTTTTGACATCTGGCAGTGGTTTGTTTACATGGACTTAGAAAAATTAAAAAAAATATTAAATGTTTCTTTTTTAGATTTTTTGGAGTGGAATATTTTTCAAAGGAACATAGTCGGATATCATATGTTTTAGTTCTTTATATTTAAAACCTAAAATCGACTTGAATAGCCTAAAAAGCATAGGTAAACAAACCACCACTGGATGTCAAACTGATGAATGCAGGTTCATCGCGTTCATTCGTGACGTCAGCGTGCAGCATCCTATAGGGGGAACTTTTATGAACCAATTTTCAGTCAAACGCGAATCAGCGTCTGATTGGTCGGGCGAACGTACAGAAACGCGAGAATTTTTACAACAGGGAATCTATTTTGTTGCATTTTGACAGTCGACTGCGTCGCCCATAATGAAATAGTTTTTGCACGGTTGTTTTCGCGAGCGAAGAAGAACACGTCACCGACAAAAAGAAGCCAGTTTTCTCCTCTTTCTCTTAGATCAAAATGTAAACAATAATATAAAATTTGTAGTGCAGCTGTTGAGAGTAAAACTCGTCCCTCTAATACAATTTGTGTATACCCGTTCCAACTGGATGAATCATTCGGTAAGTAATCGAATCTTCAATATGATTATCTATTTTTCAGCTAACTTTTACTTAAACAACAGAATTCCACGCATTCAAAACGATTGAAACAACTGAGACAGCCCGGGAGAAGCTAGACGGAGTCTATTACATTGGAAGCAATCGATCTCAAGGAAAAACTAGATCCCAACCTAAACCTTAATCCAAATAAATGTTCCAACCGACAAGCTCTTGAAGAAACATGATACGAGGAAGTTAGTCAAATGTGAGTTTAATTGACACTTTCCAATTATTCTGTTAATTTTAGGATACATAAAGTACGGTTGGATGATCAACTCTGCAAGACTGGAATAATGATCCGCAATCGACGGTAATAAGATTTCGGTGCAAAATATTTCAAAAGGGAGAAATTGCTTTTGTAAACAATCACTTAAACCGCCGATTTCTCGCTAATAAAACCTCATATATGCAAAGTAACGACACCATCAGATCAATGTTTCCACTACTTGCAGGCATCGTTAATTAACAGGAGTGAGCTTTTATTTGCGAGAAATCGGAGGTTAAAGTAGTTTCACTGTTTCGCCCTAATGATACGTTGGCACTGATTAGTTCATATTCCTAATTAAGATGATAGAATTATGTGTCCATATATTTTCAAGGCTCAATATGTAGTATTTACAGCTACTTTTGACTGTTATTCAATGGAAAGAAGGAAAATTCCATTTGTTCGTTGTAAAATGCACTTACGTTTGTAAATATAGTCTAAAATCTTCAATTTGGTGGGCTCGGGATACCTCACCCTCATCAATTAACACCATTCAGATGGGCGGAAATTGCTCGGTGGTGTCGGTTTGCGTGGGCGGGCCACCAGTTTGACAAATATCGATTACTTTTTCCAAGGGGCGTATCAGATTTTGTAAACAATCCATTTGATCTATCATCAAATAGATCCTTTCCCAACATGTTTGCCCCCATACCGGCGGATAGCTGGCGCCATGCAACTAAAAAAAAGTGGCATATTTCACCGACTTACATTTTTTAGCCACTTCGGTCAGTTTCCTCACTCCCTCGTCCGATTTGTTGACAACGTCCAAAATAGCCAATTGCAGTGTATGGACCGCACATCGAACAAGGTGTTCCTGCAACTGATCACTCAAGGCCGCTGTAAGCATTTCCTGTTGTATTCCACTCTCCTCATCGATTGTGTAAATACCCAAAGAATTCCGTGAATTGATGCAATCGCCATTATACCTTATTACTGTGAAATCACTCGACACAGGAATTCGGTTGGCTCACAAAATAGGACTTACCTTTCCTAGAGTCTGCTGCTGAATGCAATGGAACAAGCACGAGCTTTCGTAGCCACATCATTTGTGCCGTGTTGCCAATGTTCCACATCAGTCGTACCAACATTGTATGAAAATATCACAAACACTTTCATTAGTGTGGGAAAGGAATCTGTGAATATTAATTCCCGTATTCATGTACCTCACAGATTGGATCTTCGGTAGATTCACATAACATATGTGGAACTCGATAATCAAAAACACTAGTTTACAAAACAACATAAAAAGTGTGAACTTTAGTGGTTGACCAACGTTTCTAATGCAAAATCCTACGCTGAATTCAATGCCGTGGTCAGAAAAAATTAAAGTAGAGCCATTTTTGAGATATACAAAAATTTTGATTTTTTGAATTTTGGACAAAAGTACGATTACTAAAATGTCAATATCGTTGGAACTAGTGCACCAATTTTAAATCTTTTTTTTATGAAAGTGAAGCTAAATAAATTTGCTATCGTTCACTAGAATATTATGTCTTAATTAAAAAATTTTTTGAAGTCATTTAAAAATTTACAGCATTTTTTTTTTATTTTTCCTGCGAATTTTCCATAAAAAATCTTGTTTTAATCAACATTTTTAATGGGATAAAAAGATTCAAAAAATCATTCCATAATTTATTCTTAAAGTCCATTAAAAACTGGAGAAAATGAGCCTTTAATGGATGAAATCGGTTGGAAATT